TAGTTCAGTTCTAGTTCAGTTCTAGTTCAGTTCTAGTTCAGTTCTAGTTCAGTTCTAGTTCAGTTAGTTCAGTTCTAGTTCAGTTCTAGTTCAGTTCAGTTCAGTTCTAGTTCAATTCTAGTTCATTCTAGTTCAGTTCTAGTTCAGTTCTAGTTCAGTTCTAGTTCAGTTCTAGTTCAGTTCTAGTTCAGTTCTAGTTCAGTTCTAGTTCAGTTCTAGTTCAGTTCTAGTTCAGTTCTAGTTCAGTTCTAGTTCAGTTCTAGTTCAGTTCTAGTTCAGTTCTAGTTCAGTTCTAGTTCAGTTCTAGTTCAGTTCTAGTTCAGTTCTAGTTCAGTTCTAGTTCAGTTCTAGTTCAGTTCTAGTTCAGTTCTAGTTCAGTTCTAGTTCAGTTCTAGTTCAGTTCTAGTTCAGTTCTAGTTCAGTTCTAGTTCAGTTCTAGTTCAGTTCTAGTTCAGTTCTAGTTCAGTTCTAGTTCAGTTCTAGTTCAGTTCTAGTTCAGTTCTAGTTCAGTTCTAGTTCAGTTCTAGTTCAGTTCTAGTTCAGTTCTAGTTCAGTTCTAGTCAGTTCTAGTTCAGTTCTAGTTCAGTTCTAGTCAGTTCTAGTTCAGTTCTAGTTCAGTTCTAGTTCAGTTCTAGTTCAGTTCTAGTTCAGTTCTAGTCAGTTCTAGTTCAGTTCTAGTTCAGTTCTAGTTCAGTTCTAGTTCAGTTTCTAGTTCAGTTCTAGTTCAGTTCTAGTTCAGTTCTAGTTCAGTTCTAGTTCAGTTCTAGTTCAGTTCTAGTTCAGTTCAGTTCTAGTTCAGTTCTAGTTCAGTTCTAGTTCAGTTCTAGTTCAGTTCTAGTTCAGTTCTAGTTCAGTTCTAGTTCAGTTCTAGTTCAGTTCTAGTTCAGTTCTAGTTCAGTTCTAGTTCAGTTCTAGTTCAGTTCTAGTTCAGTTCTAGTTCAGTTCTAGTTCAGTTCTAGTTCAGTTCTAGTTCAGTTTCTAGTTCAGTTCTAGTTCAGTTCTAGTTCAGTTCTAGTTCAGTTCTAGTTCAGTTTCTAGTTCAGTTCTAGTCAGTTCTAGTTCAGTTCTAGTTCAGTTCTAGTTCAGTTCTAGTTCAGTTCTAGTTCAGTTCTAGTTCAGTTCTAGTTCAGTTTAGTTCAGTTCTAGTTCAGTTCTAGTTCAGTTCTAGTTCAGTTCTAGTTCAGTTCTAGTTCAGTTCTAGTTCAGTTCTAGTTCAGTTCTAGTTCAGTTCTAGTTCAGTTCTAGTTCAGTTCTAGTTCAGTTCTAGTTCAGTTCTAGTTCAGTTCTAGTTCAGTTCTAGTTCAGTTCTAGTTCAGTTCTAGTTCAGTTCTAGTTCAGTTCTAGTTCAGTTCTAGTTCAGTTCTAGTTCAGTTCTAGTTCAGTTCTAGTTCAGTTCTAGTTCAGTTCTAGTTCAGTTCTAGTTCAGTTCTAGTTCAGTTCTAGTTCAGTTCTAGTTCAGTTCTAGTTCAGTTCTAGTTCAGTCTAGTTCAGTTCTAGTTCAGTTCTAGTTCAGTTCTAGTTCTTAGTTCAGTTCTAGTTCAGTTCTAGTTCAGTTCTAGTTCAGTTCTAGTTCAGTTCTAGTTCAGTTCTAATTCAGTTCTAGTTCAGTTCTAGTTCAGTTCTAGTTCAGTTCTAGTTCAGTTCTAGTTCAGTTCTAGTTCAGTTCTAGTTCAGTTCTAGTTCAGTTCTAGTTCAGTTCTAGTTCAGTTCTAGTTCAGTTCTAGTTCAGTTCTAGTTCAGTTCTAGTTCAGTTCTAGTTCAGTTCTAGCTCAGTTCTAATTCAGTTCTAATTCAGTTCTAGTTCAGTTCTAGTTCAGTTCTAGTTCAGTTCTAGTTCAGTTCTAGCTCAGTTCTAATTCAGTTCTAATTCAGTTCTAGTTCAGTTCTAGTTCAGTAAAACATGATTTCAAATAACGGAGTTTTAAACAAAAGCAATACAGGAACTTCATTGATATTTTTCTTTTCCTTTTCGCAAGTTTTTTTTAGAAAATTTATTTCAAATTTGTAAAAAGATCGTTAAAATTCATAACCGGATACTAAAGTATAGATTTATTTTATTATTCCACATAAACATTGACTTCTTCTTTTCTTATGCTTCTAAAATATATAGCATATAAAGTAAAATAAACTTTCCGCCTTAAAAAAACACTTTCTTTTCTAAATCATTTACATCTCTCTTATTAAAAAATAAAAATAATTTATATAGATGAAGCAAAAATAAAAAAAGAAATTGAAATTTTTAAGCAAAAAGGCAAACAAACCTTTAAAACAGAATTTAATAATTTATTGCACATCAAAGGTGCTTTGCATACTAAAACTGTTAGAAGCAAAAAGCCAACTACTCTTAAACATTATTTTTTGCAAAATAACCGAAAAACAGTAATTTCTAAAAGCCCGGGAAAAAACTATTAAAAAAATGAGGAAAAAAAATACTTTATCTCATGTTTAGAATAGTTAAAATCAAATTATAGAGTAAAAACTGTTAACACTTGTTTTGTTGACGCTTTTATTATTACTCCTCTGACGCTATGATGTTGCTGCTGTTGTAAACATTAAAGTCAACAACAGCAACAACAACAGACCTGTATGTTGTTAACTTGGCTGTTTGTATGAAACAAATTTTTACTTTAGCCAAAGTTTTTTACTGGTTCGTAGGCAGACAAATGCTTTGGCATACAAATGTGGTTCATTTGGTCACTAGGGCAGGCACGTACTAAACTAGAAACTTTTAACAGCAGAAAAAGAGACAGAAAAACCAAATGAAACGAAAAAAACACCATCTACTTAAACTTAACATTCAAGTGAACATGTTAAGATAGATTTAGAGTTTTTTCCCTCTTTTCTATACTATAAAGCATACATACATTATAAATAGGTATAGAGATCGAAAGAAGGACAGACAGACGAACGACAGACGTACACATCTTGCAAAGTGTTTGTGGCAACAAAATTGTTACAAATTATAATTCACCCAACAATTGTGGGAGAAGAATATAAAAAAGCCAGTCATAGTGTTTTAAACAGCTAAAGGAAGGTTTTTTTCTTTTTGGTTTTTTTTTAACAATAATGGTAACACAACTTGCAACAGCAGTTCTATGCAAATTGTGGGTAATTTATTTAAGTAAACTTAAGTTAACTGCACTCAACGAAAAGATAGAAAGACAGACAGACGGACGAATAGACAAACAACTACTTATCTTGGCAAATAAGGCTTGCCAGTTTAAACATTTTAATAAAATCTTAAAAACTATGTGACCATGGCCATGATAAACATAAAATTAAACAATAAAATACTAGTGTCTAAAAAGCTACAAAAATAAAAAAACTTCATATAAAGAACAAAAATCTGAAGAACAGAACATTTGATAAATGAAAATACTTAATTTACAATATTAAACATTTAAGAAAATCATTTATAAACCTTGACAAACAGAAAAAAACATTTTTAATAAAAAAAAAACAAAAGACTTAAGCAACAAACTTGTTTATTTGTTTTGCTAATTTCTCATGTCGAAATAATGTTTGTTAAGAAAATTAAACTTTGATTGATTCGTTTATAAATTTGGCTTTCTGACAACAAAAAAAAATAAATTTTTTACAACATTCATAATTAGTAGCCAGTTAAAAAAAATCTTGTTTAAAAAAGTCAACTTTTAACCAAAGTTCAACAGGCGAATCTCACACTCTGTTTAAATCTGTTAAAAAAACACCAACACTTGAGTTCAAAGAAAAATTATGTTAATATGTTAAATTAAAATGCGTGTGAAATTGTTAATTTTAAATTCATCCAAATTAATTATTATTTATTAAGACCCCAACATTCACAATAGAAGTTATTTTTTAATATTTGCTAACCTTGTCTGTCTTTTTTTCTTGCGACTCTTTTTTTTTTTGTATTTCTGTTTATTTTGGGAAGATGTAAATTATGATTATTTTTACCTGTATTTATTTGCCCAAGTTTAAGCCATTATTTGGTAATAATTGCCATTTTTTGTTTAATTTTATTTTGAAATTTATGTCTATTTATTAATAAATACCAGTTTCCATATAAATATTTAATTTTAGTTAATCATTGCTTTTTGTCCAAATAAACATATATAATAAAACTGGATTTGGTTTTGAAAGATATTAACAAAATTAAACGTAAGAGATTATAATTAATGGCTGTTTCATAGGATTGGCTTATTAGACATCATTGTTGATTATCTGCATCTCATTTTATATCCTCCTCCAAAAATCAAGGTTTATTGGAATAAAGATTAGGTTACCTGTAGAACTGAACTAGAACTGAACTAGAACTGAACTAGAACTGAACTAGAACTGAACTGAACTAGAACTGAACTAGAACTGAACTAGAACTGAACTAGAACTGAACTAGAACTGAACTGAACTAGAACTGAACTAGAATTGAACTAGAACTGAACTAGAACTGAACTAGAACTGAACTAGAACTGAACTAGAACTGAACTAGAACTGAACTAGAACTGAACTAGAACTGAACTAGAACTGAACTAGAACTGAACTAGAACTGAACTAGAACTGAACTAGAACTGAACTAGAACTGAACTAGAACTGAACTAGAACTGAACTAGAACTGAACTAGAACTGAACTAGAACTGAACTAGAACTGAACTAGAACTGAACTAGAACTGAACTAGAACTGAACTAGAACTGAACTAGAACTGAACTAGAACTGAACTAGAAACTAGAACTGAACTAGAACTGAACTAGAACTGAACTAGAACTGAACTAGAACTGAACTAGAACTGAACTAGAACTGAACTAGAACTGAACTAGAACTGAACTAGAACTGACACTAAATTAAAACAAGAATATAATATGAACTAGTCTGATCTGAAAAAAAGTTTTTGGAAAAAATATATCGTCATAGGTCCGAGCAGTTATTTGTTAATAATAAATATTATCAAGTCATATTTTAATTATAGAGTAATTAGTAATCGATTTTATTGTTCTATCTTATTTATTATATCATTGTTTACCTTATTCTTTCCCCGATCCGTTCATCCGTAATTTTAAAATTTCCTAAAACACAAAAAACAATAACAGTATTAAAATCACACATTGAAAAGTAATAAACCTGAAAATGTTTAAATTAATTTAATAAATGATTTTTAAACAGCTTGATGACACTGTTCATTTTTTTTAACAAATATTTAACAAGAGTTCAGTTATTGAAAACAAGTTTTATTAAAAACAATATTTGTACAATTTGTTGCTTTATTGTATAAATAAATATTATTGTGACAGTATTATTATGCAAATTTTATTTGGAGAAAAAAAAACTAAAACGTTGTTTAACAAAATTTAAACTAATGTAAAATATTTGTTGATTAAACAACAAATTTACTCATCAAATTTTAAAAATAATAATAATGATTTCAGTTAATGAAACTTGTAAACAACAGTATTTTTTGTTATTACTTTTTGTAATTCCTAATGAGCATGTGTAATTTTATGTGTTAATCAAAAAAAAAAGTCAACAAAAAAATAAATTATTAAGACTAACACCTTGACCTTGAAAACCCCATGTCTACAATTGAGAAAAAAAATGTGTAAAGATTGTGTAAACCAATACCAAACCAAAATACCTACAATGTATTGATAAAATACCTTTCAAAATGTATCGTGTTTTTCTATTAACTACAAAAACCTTCTTTGTATCAGTAATATTTTCAAACACTACAAATCATTGATTTAACATATATCTCAATTTTGGGAAGTCTTTTAATTAAAGATTCTCACAAGTTATTAACAAAATAAAAGCTCACAAAAATATTTCATGCTTCTAATCTTAAAGATAAACAAAAGACTTAAGCAACAAACTTGCTAATTTAATTTATGTATGTAATCATGATGATGATGGTGAATTTTTTAATTATGATGTTTATGATTTAAAAGCTTTAAATCAATTATCGGAATTTTTAATAATTATGTTGTAAAACTTACCGCTTTAGGGTGTATTTCTTTCTTTAGAACATTTTTAATTATAGTTATTGTAAAAATACATTTGCTTGATGTATAGTTTTAACCTATTTCAATAGAATTGTCTTGTAAACTTTTTTACAATACAACAAAATGTTAAAAAAGTTACTGTACATTAGATCAAGTTCTAGTTCAGTTCTAGTTGAGTTCTAGTTCAGTTCTAGTTCAGTTCTAGTTCAGTTCCAGTTCAGTTCTAGTTCAGTTCTAGTTCAGTTCTAGTTCAGTTCTAGTTCAGTTCTAGTTCAGTTTCTAGTTCAGTTCTAGTTCTAGTTCAGTTCTAGTTCAGTTCTAGTCAGTTCTAGTTCGTTCTAGTTCATTCTAGTTCAGTTCTAGTTCAGTTCTAGTTCAGTTCTAGTTCAGTTCTAGTTCAGTTCTAGTTCAGTTCTAGTTCAGTTCTAGTCAGTTCTAGTTCAGTTCTAGTTTTCAGTTCTAGTTCAGTTCTAGTTCAGTTCTAGTTCAGTTCTAGTTCAGTTCTAGTTCAGTTCTAGTTCGTTCTAGTTCAGTTCTAGTTCAGTTCTAGTTCAGTTCTAGTTCAGTTCTAGTTCAGTTTCTAGTTCAGTTCTAGTTCAGTTCTAGTTTCAGTTCTAGTTTCAGTTCTAGTTCAGTTCTAGTTCAGTTCTAGTTCAGTTCTAGTTCAGTTCTAGTTCAGTTCTAGTTCAGTTCTAGTTCAGTTCTAGTTCAGTCTAGTTCTAGTTCAGTTCTAGTTCAGTTCTACGTTCAGTTCTAGTTCTAGTTCAGTTCTAGGTTCAGTTCTCTAGTTCAGTTCTAGTTCAGTTCATTCAGTTCTAGTTCAGTTCTAGTTCAGTTCTAGTTCAGTTTCTAGTTCAGTTCTAGTTCAGTTCTAGTTCAGTTCTAGTTCAGTTCTAGTTCAGTTCTAGTTCAGTTCTAGTTCAGTTCTAGTTCAGTTCTAGTTCAGTTCTAGTTCAGTTCTAGTTCAGTTCTAGTTCAGTTCTAGTTCAGTTCTAGTTCAGTTCTAGTTCAGTTCTAGTTCAGTTCTAGTTCAGTTCTAGTTCAGTTCTAGTTCAGTTCTAGTTCAGTTCTAGTTCAGTTCTAGTTCAGTTCTAGTTCAGTTCTAGTTCAGTTCTAGTTCAGTTCTAGTTCAGTTCTAGTTCAGTTCTAGTTCAGTTCTAGTTCAGTTCTAGTTCAGTTCTAGTTCAGTTCTAGTTCAGTTCTAGTTCAGTTCTAGTTCAGTTCTAGTTCAGTTCTAGTTCAGTTCTAGTTCAGTTCTAGTTCAGTTCTAGTTCAGTTCTAGTTCAGTTCTAGTTCAGTTCTAGTTCAGTTCTAGTTCAGTTCTAGTTCAGTTCTAGTTCAGTTCTAGTTCAGTTCTAGTTCAGTTCTAGTTCAGTTCTAGTTCAGTTCTAGTTCAGTTCTAGTTCAGTTCTAGTTCAGTTCTAGTTCAGTTCTAGTTCAGTTCTAGTTCAGTTCTAGTTCAGTTCTAGTTCAGTTCTAGTTCAGTTCTAGTTCAGTTCTAGTTCAGTTCTAGTTCAGTTCTAGTTCAGTTCTAGTTCAGTTCTAGTTCAGTTCTAGTTCAGTTCTAGTTCAGTTCTAGTTCAGTTCTAGTTCAGTTCTAGTTCAGTTCTAGTTCAGTTCTAGTTCAGTTCTAGTTCAGTTCTAGTTCAGTTCTAGTTCAGTTCTAGTTCAGTTCTAGTTCAGTTCTAGTTCAGTTCTAGTTCAGTTCTAGTTCAGTTCTAGTTCAGTTCTAGTTCAGTTCTAGTTCAGTTTAGTTCAGTTCTAGTTCAGTTTAGTTCAGTTCTAGTTCAGTTCTAGTTCAGTTCTAGTTCAGTTCTAGTTCAGTTCTAGTTCAGTTCTAGTTCAGTTCTAGTTCAGTTCTAGTTCAGTTCTAGTTCAGTTCTAGTTCAGTTCTAGTTCAGTTCTAGTTCAGTTCTAGTTCAGTTCTAGTTCAGTTCTAGTTCAGTTCTAGTTCAGTTCTAGTTCAGTTCTAGTTCAGTTCTAGTTCAGTTCTAGTTCTAGTTCAGTTCTAGTTCAGTTCTAGTTCAGTTCTAGTTCTAGTTCAGTTCTAGTTCAGTTCTAGTTCAGTTCTAGTTCAGTTCTAGTTCAGTTCTAGTTCAGTTCTAGTTCAGTTCTAGTTCAGTTCTAGTTCAGTTCTAGTTCAGTTCTAGTTCAGTTCTAGTTCAGTTCTAGTTCAGTTCTAGTTCAGTTCTAGTTCAGTTCTAGTTCAGTTTAGTTCAGTTCTAGTTCAGTTCTAGTTCAGTTCTAGTTCAGTTCTAGTTCAGTTCTAGTTCAGTTCTAGTTCAGTTCTAGTTCAGTTCTAGTTCAGTTCTAGTTCAGTTCTAGTTCAGTTCTAGTTCAGTTCTAGTTCAGTTCTAGTTCAGTTCTAGTTCAGTTCTAGTTCAGTTCTAGTTCAGTTCTAGTTCAGTTCTAGTTCAGTTTCTAGTTCAGTTCTAGTTCAGTTCTAGTTCAGTTCTAGTTCAGTTCTAGTTCAGTTCAGTTCAGTTCTAGTTCAGTTCTAGTTCAGTTCTAGTTCAGTTCTAGTTCAGTTCTAGTTCAGTTCTAGTTCATTCTAGTTCAGTTCTAGTTCAGTTCAGTTCAGTTCTTCAGTTCTAGTTCAGTTCTAGTTCAGTTCTAGTTCAGTTCTAGTTCAGTTCTAGTTCAGTTCTAGTTCAGTTCTAGTTCAGTTCTAGTTCAGTTCTAGTTAATAACTTTATTTTTATACAAAATATTTTCCTATCTTTTTTTTTGCAAGAAAAATTCCTACAAATACTTTTTATCAAGCAGTTAACAATTTGTATGATAACAAAAAACACACATTACAATTTTACAGATTTCTTCAATCGAAACCATTTTCACACACATAATTTGCAAATTTTTTTTCAATTTTACTACCATTTCAACGCTGTACTTGTCTAAATACAGCAAAACATTGAAATTGCCTATTAAAATACCAAAATTCTTTTAATTATTCCTACTGCTCATGTATGAGTATAAGTTGAATACTGCAAACTAGTGGATGTGTAGCTATTTGGCGAACACAATCCCGTTACCGTATGTCTACTTGTATTAAGCTTTTTCGTTGATCTTTTAGCCACTTCCAGCTATTACTAGGAAAAACTTCTGTAACAAAAAAAAAAAACTCAACAGGTACGTGTGTGGTATGTGCTTTTTTACCAGTAAACATTCTCTGTAGGCTTTTTTCTAATTAGTAAAACGACTTGACTAAAACTGATAAACCAAAAACTAAAAAAAAAAGACAAAAAAATTAAGATAGAAAATTTGCCTTTGACTTTTTCCTTTTATTCACATTTTGGTTGCTTTTATACATTAGTTTTCTATAAGTGAATAAGTAAGTATTATGTATGCATACAATAAATTATGGTTTACTACAATGTTTTACACACCGAAAACTATTTTCTGCATACATCTTTTGGTTATACTAGCTGTTAATTGCAATGAACGTACTACAAAAAAAAATAACTAAATATAAGAAAAAACTGTAATGTGGTGGTGAATGTCCAGGAAATGCTTAAAAGTTATAAACATCATTGCTTTCGATGCTCAGATATGTGTGTTTGTATGTATGTAAAATGGTGGGAATTGTGTATGGTCGGTTAAAAAAAAATTCATTAAATAACTAATATGCATGTACTACAATGATGTAATCGCTTATGAAGAAAATTATATATTATAGAGAAATTAAGACAAAACACAAGGACTACTTTTAGGACTTCAGCATTATGGTAAACAGGCCACATATTGACCACCCATAGGGGTAATGTGTTTAAATAAATTTTAAATATATAATTTATAGTTACTAAAACAAAAGACTTAAGACAAAAACTTTATATGTACATAAGCTGCAAAATATTAAAATACTTTTGCTTGATGTATAGTTTTAACCTAAACTGAGGTAGAACTTAACTAGAGCTGAACTAGAACTGAAATATAGACCAAATTAAGGGCCGGCAACGCGGTCTACATTCAGCTTGCACATTATAACTCACTACAAAGTTTCTATAAAACATTTTTTCATTTAATTTCTAAGTCTCCAAGCACATTAAAAAGTTTATTGCCCCCCCCCCCTC